GACAGTAACTTCATACCACACTGTGACGACACTGTGTGCTTGTAAGATCACAACCATTCCTCCGGTTGCGAGAAGGAGTGTTCATCAGCGCTGGATCCTACTGGTAAGGGGGATCGGAGAACGTGTCGCCACAACACTTCTGATTCAGCATCCTCTTCAGTCCTGGGCTAGGTTCGTAAGGGCCGCTCGCAAGAAACTTGCACGTCAAACAAGAACAAGCATTCAGCACTATCTAACTCTTTGCAGGTGGTTTGAGTTGTTGAGACTACTTGAGTGGTCAAATCAGCCGCTTCACCTCCTCCAAGGGGTTCGCATTGACAGACCTCAAACTGCTCCATAGTGAATTCGTATCAGCTTGCAAGACCTAAAAGAGTATTAAATTATCCTGAATTGTCTGCTTCTTATTCCACATTTCAGTGCATCGCTGACGTGTGCTTTGATTGTAAGCAAGCCGCAAAGCAATTCGCCCAGCAGACAAGACAACAAGCCGAGCATGTAGTGTTCCAGGCAGCAGCAAACAAGGCAGCAGGCATATCATCTTGTGCAGCTAGCTCAGGCCGAAGCAGTGCAAACCAGGACTCGCGGTGAGCAACATGAAGCACGTGCCAACACGCGCATGAGTGAGTTGCGTTCTGAGCTGTCTGAGTGCCCTCAGTCACAGGCTGTATTTACACAAGGGTTGAGCAGTTAGCGTCATATCATGCAAAAGTTGGAACAGAATTCCGAGACATTGATGCAAAAGCTTCGCACTTCTAAAGCCAATCATGCTGAGAGTGAACTTGTGATTTCCAGCCTGCGGTTACAGTTGGCTACCCAAGAATCCCAAAATGGCCCGGATCCAAAACAGCCGCCCGTAGGAGACATCACAACACTTTTGCATCAGGTTGCTGAAGCAGCACGTAGGTTGGAAGTGTCTGCGCAGAGCGTTGGTGTGAGCCCAAAGGGTAGTAAGAAGAGTAAGCCAGTCCCAAAGGTTCAGGCCTCCGTCCCCAATGCTCCGAGCAGTTGTTCCGGAAATCTAGTTCCATCCAAAGCATCATCAAGTGTTTCATCCTCGCAGGTCACTTTTCCCACAATGCTCCATGGTGCGCAACACGGGTTGGTGCTCCTGCCGGCCCGTCCGTGAATGCTCACCCGCCACCTCCTCCCGCTAGATTATCGCCCGCTTCTCCTCAGGTTTTCCAGTTTGGCACAGATGATGAGGACAACGGAGATGACGATGATTATGATGAAGAAGGTGAGGAGGAAGAGGGGGTGATTATCCCGACAGATATGGGGATGAGCTTGATGATGATCCCATCCTCGATGATGATGATGTGCCTGATCCTGTGTCCCCTTCTACAGCGCAGCTGAAAGAAGCAGACGTGTATAAGTCCAAAGAACTTGAGGACCTAAAGTTGCCCACCGCTCCCCAAAATGCCGGTGGGTTTCGTGCCTTCCGAAATGCAATGCTGACAACTTTTGCCGCAATTGATAGGACCGGAAAAGGGGTTATCCTCACATAGTTGCGCTCAGCCCTTGATCCGTCCGTCACTGCGCAAGCAGCAAATCAGCTTGAGCAGGATCATGGTGGCCTCCGTCGTTTGGATGCGCATTTGTCAACATTGATGGCAGGCAATAGGCGATTTTGGGGTTAGTGCACAGGGGTACATTGAAACATCCCACCGAAATTCGCAACAACCATGTGGCAGAGTTTTCCTAGCCTTGTGACAATTTCGGATTGATAGGGTCAGGGGTACCACGATGTCACAGCAAACGCTTTTGG